GGATTTAATATGATACCAGACTACTGCAAAGAAGTTTCAGATTAATACTTGTGAAGAATATATATTATCAGATTAACTATGCGTATTGAAATATATCAGAAATACGTACTGTCACGTTTCTCAAAGACAGTTATAAAAATTAAATAGTGTACTTTGATACACATAGATTGAGTTAGAACGTGTAACGTTCTAGACAAATGTAATATTATAGACCATGTACAAGAAGGCATTTCGCGACAGGTAGATTTCTGAGTCAAAGTGACATGATTTGTTACACTTATGTTATTTGTCTTACATTGACTTTGACGATGGAATCGCCCAAGGGTTGTTCAATGTATGGAGTCAAATATCTTATTACATAATCATGATGTAGAGTCTTTTGGTCGTTAAAAATGAATTTACATTAGGATCTTCTTACTTGTTAATACAAAGTCGAGTCATGGTTGTTGCAAATGAAGTGAGAACCAATGAGAACATATTAGACCGTTAGAAGAGCAGAAACTAATAATTGTTTTAGTCAGGATTTTCAGGATAATTATTCCGTGTTCGTTGCTCAAACCCTTTCACGTGCCCAGGTGCTACTTGATTGGGCGAGAGCAGCGGGGAACGATGATTTGATTTCATATATAATAACAATAACATGTATATGCGACTGGCAATGCGTTAACTTACCGTGCACGACGTATTTTCCACTTGTGTGTGTGGTTGTTAGGCAGTGGAATTGCGTCGGTTAGATTTCTATCAATTAACATTTCATGTGTAGTTGTTCCTTGGAACAATTTCTCACAACTCCGGTATCGGTCGTACATATACCTTTGCTTTATATAATGCTTATAATAAAATTTCCATGGAATATGTACTGGTTTCGTGTCTCTCGCTATCAGACGAAAAAATTAACACATAATCGATATAAAGTATACCAAGTATACGTATATTGTTTAAATAATTTTTCTAATCTCGCAATGGATGCTAGCCTTTGCCAGTCGATTTCAGGAAAATGGTACGTACATTAGAGTGTGCAAGTTGAATATCACGTTCGGGTGTCGGAGGCGTCCCGGGATGTCCTCTCTAGATTTGTACCGGGGCGCATGCTTGAGAACCGTGGAGTGTTGTGTGTTGGTGAGAATCTGTCTTGCGAATTTATTTTTAAATATAGGGCTAGGTAGGTAGGTAGCATACTCTCTGGTGTGTGAATGTGTACTATTAGACTGTAAGTAGGTAGGGGCCGGGGCAGGCTATCACATTTTCGGGTGGGTTCGCGTAGGTTTCGCGTGATAGTCCTGCTACCGGGATAATTTGTAGCGTCGATTCGAAACTGGTCCAGACGGAGCATGCTGTCTGCTTCCGATTTCGATTTCGATTCTTCAAATTCGGCGAACCCCCAGGGGGTCGTCGTCGTGGTCGCGGTCGGAATGATAGGATTGTCGAAACGAACGACCTGCTCGATTGCACTCGTGGTACGATCATACAGACTCTTGGAGTTGTTGGTCATCCACAACCGAGCAGCTTGAGGGTTTCAGGTGGGTGGACTGTCGAAGAAAAGAAGAGGCTATATGCCGAAGAGGCCCGACAAAAATAATGTCATTGAAGAGGGCAACTACTAATGGCTCCGCATCTTCGGATGGGAAGTCATTCTGTTACTACTTTGTCACTGTACTCGCCTGTAGTTGTAGTCGTAGTAGTTTGTATTGTGTTCGACAGATCGGCCCAACCGTATTTGTAGAGGAAGCTTTAAAGAAGGTGGCTATATTCTGTTCAAATTTTTAACCGTTAGTCTTCGATATCTAGTTTTCAAAATTTAAGTGTCTTGATTTTTTAGTTCTAGATTCTTAGAAACAACTAATTATAAACTTTATTAATTTATTATTCTTGCACTCTTTTTGCTTAACCTTGATGTATAAAATATAAATAATTGTAACATTGAAAGTATATGCATGAAAAGTGAAAATTATAGGGCCGTAATCGTTATATGATCTCCATTAGATTGTTCTAATCACATCGCGCTTTCTGTAATGAATAGTATGCGAGTTCAACGTGATTCCGTATGTATTGCGTCCTGGACGTTTTGGTCGACAGAGTGGGGTGGGTGTAGGTGTGTGAGAAATACGTGTTGGCGTGGGGTGGTCCCCATGGTTAATTAACGTACCGATAATTATCGAGAATTACCAACAGAGCAATGGATATCGACATATACGCGATTACATCGAGTACATAAGACGGACGACAGTGGTTGCGGGTCTCTGCGTGCACGTTTGAAATTTTCTGACTGAAGACTGTGGCGACACCTGCGTATACTAACGGTACTACATTCTGTTCTATCAGTGATCTTCGGATCGAAACATGACGCATAACGTTTTTCAGGGATTAATGGGTGGGTTTGGTTGCAGCCGATTACATATACATAATAAGAAATATTCATATGTCACAGCTGCAACTTCAGTTCGTGAAATTCACAAGTAAATATTTATCATAACCTAGTACGAAAAAGGAAATTATAAAGAAAGCAATAAGGCGTTAGTTATGTATGGTCTATACCTTTTCGATGTTTATATATCGCAATTGATGCTGAACAAAGAGACGTACACTGATACTGGTGGATCATCGCTTATCACAAAAATCGTCATCATTAATTTACCGCCCATGGAGGTCTTTGAGCACAGCCGATCTCGTAAAAATGACATCCATGTATTCAAGTTTAAAGGTGGTCAAGCCTGCCACTTTTCAGTGCTGTGCGAGGAATTAGTTAAAATAATGAAGAGACTACCCTTATACATTGGCGTTTTTAGAGTGAATGATGAGTTCCCTATTTGCAGCGTACGAACTTATCTCTCCGGTTGTGCTTGTGATTTAGTAAGAAACAATTTTTAGTGTAATTCAGTTAATATATATCACACTCTTCACGTATTTACGAAATGTAGATTTTCATATACAGTTTCCACTATATTTATGTTTAATAAATCATATCTTCTTTATTTATGATTCATGAATCTTCGTTTACAAAGTGGATCTAGCAAGAAAGTGGATAAATTTTTGGAATGTCAGATAAGGTATGAAATTTCTACAATCCATTAATATTATCCCTTCACACTTTATGTATGCCTCTCAGACACAAATCGTGTTTAACAGTTTATCGTAAATATACCATGCAAGTATAGTTTGACCAACAAAGTCTAGGACAACTATAAGGCGTTTGTAAGAGTAATTAAAAAAAAGGGAAAAGATTGGAATAAAAAATGCCTTTTGCATTACTAAGTTCTTCGAAAATAAAGTACGGCCTTCAGTCGCAGAGTTCAATACAATATAACTCTGTTCAGAATAAATGGTACAATATTAATTGAAGTGAAAATCATTAGAATGTACACATTTTTGCTAATGTGAGTATTAGGGTCGAAGAATTCTTCAAAGATGTTTGTAAGAGCTTCTTGTATGAAGTTGTCGAGGTATTTGATGAAACAGCAATAAAGGGGCGAAAGGTGCGATATTATTTCTGATGTATTTCAACGATATCGTGACAGTACTTTTTTGCGGTGTTAATTCTACCCAGATATAAGAAAATACAACAGATATAGGCCACCAAACACTCAACGTGACCTTTTTTTTTGTATATTTGGCTTAAGAAAGTTCTTTGGAGCTTTGGTCTAACAAGTTATGCTATAAACCTTGTGAAAATATTGACGATTACCATATACATTAACCACATTTCGTTATACGTCTTAATCTGGTTACAAAAGAACCATTTCTCCTGCGAAAAAAGACAAGAGCATACATTGTAGTGCTGGCGAAAAATTTATTGACTCTAATACTCCAGAATCCCATTGTGTCGGAATAAATAGACTTGGACCTAATGATATGACTGATACTGTATCGATATTACCGATACCGTTTCCCCAAGTTTCAATGTTGTGTTGATACATATCAAAGACGTAGATATCAAAAAGAATCGATACCTACTTATTATCTACCCAAAAGTATGGATACCTATTTGATACCTACTCGAAACATGAATACTTTTCGAGCCGGCCAGCGTCGTGCGCTGAACGGCGAGTATATTCATACATATTCAGACATAAATTTTTCACGCTATACATATATATTAGACTCTAACTACATTGCCACTGAATACATTGCCACACGAGGCACTTTCCCTTCACATGTACTTTCGTGCACACAAATTCGCTCTCCTACCACGTTGCGTACGCCAGCGCACTAGCACGATCCAGCTTTTGCGCAGGCGCTGAGGTCATGGCGACAGAACTTAGCATGAAGGGGGCTCTGAACTCATTGCCATCTTACTCTCCCACAGCCCCGAACATGGCAATATAGTTAGAGTTTAGTGTATTTCAATTCATTTATTACAGTTAAAAACACATAAACGTATATTAGCAATGTTCCACAACTAATCCAAGAAATGAAAATAAAAATCATATGAATTTTTATTTTCATTAACATATCTTTTTATGAATAGGTATGAGAAAACCGAAGAGTGAATACTATTAGATTGCCGTTTCTATTCTTTTTTTACAAGCTCGGAATCAAATTTTTGTTTCCACAGATTCCATACAAAAACAATACCCTATCGTTATGATTTGACCTTTAGTACGTATACACTTGTTATACGTTAAACTTCTGATTTTTACAGAATACGCTGATGATACAGAATCCGAAGTCTTTTATATTTAGAGGACCGTTTGATCTTGTAGATCCCGGTAATAGTTTCGCGGGTCAACTGGGTGCCACTATTACCGTTACAAATATGGGAAGGTACTACAAAGATATGTTAACAGTTTATTTGTTAATTATAAATTTATTAGTTAATCTACTGAGGTTTATATTTGTATTTCCTGTTACTATATTAGTCTTTTATTAGTAACATCTGTTACGCGAAATTTAGTTAACGAGCCACGGTCCACCGAGTGGCCGGCGCGCATCGTCGACGAAATTGGAAAGAGCTTTTCTATTTTTCTCGAATTAAACCCTCCGTAGGGAAAAATAAACCGCTGAATGGATGAATAACATCTATATACATAGAATGTTCTAAAATAGTATAAATATAATATATATTTATACATAAGGGTTTTCATTGTTATATAATGTAATCATATTATTGAGAAAATGTTGAGAGATTATATGTATGGTCATATATGACAGCCACATACTCATTTATCACTAGCTTTATGACATTATTACTATACCTATGTGTACATAACTTTGTTCGAATGCACATTTTCATGCATTTCTGATTACAAATAAAAATTAATTCCGAGGAAAGACCAAAACTCAACAGTATAATATAATAATTGCCAAATGTTCATCTCTGGATCAAAAGTTATTTCAACATCATAATGTCGTAGGCGTTGAATTTTCATTCGAGACAACTATGAGATTATGAAATTTAAAGTATTAAATTTTTATAAAATAATTACATATGACCGTGACCTGACGTTTAAAAAAATTGTATGATATTAAGCTCGCAACAATTTATTATCCGTTTGTTATGATGAATTCAGTATATAATTCAGCTTCTATTTTTGTATCCTCTCAGTACATTGGAAATATAATTCTAACAACGATAATTTCTTAATCATAGTGTAATAAATTAAGATTAATTGTCGTGTAATTTATAACCAGACACCTAGTAGTAATTGTGCTGTTTAGATGCATGATGGCATATTACGCTCTTGTGCCCGATTGCTTTTTCTTCAAAACCGGTCCTGGGGAAGACGAGTATAAATGCAACTTCAAGGAGAAGTCAAATTCATCTGGCCAACATCGAACGATGAATCTAGATGCTGATTCACCGAAAAGCTTGGTCAGAGGTATTGTTGGAGTTTCCCCAGTTGCTCAATACCTTGCTCGTGGGAGTCCGCCGCCACAACCACCATTCGAACCCTTAGTAGATCCACGAGCGGCGCGAGGCAGAAAGAAAGGGAAAGGGAAGAAAGGCAAGAAAGGCAAGAAGAAATAGATGAAACTGAATTCCTTATTTACATGAAAATGTAATTTCTATCTCGTGAGAAGATGTTTGCTTAAGTTTGTCTAGTGCATCCGATTGAAAAATTGTAATAAATTTACATAATTTTCAATATCGGAAAATTAAACCAATATTAAGAAAAACTGTGTAATGCGTAATATTATAGCTAATAGAAACACTAAGATTATCATCAGTGGAATAGTTTCAAGAAATTGGTTAATTTATCGTTGAATGTAAACATTTAACGGCTTCGAATTATACATGTAACCTTTTATTTGGAATAGTATAAAAATTTTATTCCATGGACAAGGAATTCTAAATTTATTGTTACACAATTGCGAAATTACATAATATAGGTGTGTATTAAAAAAATGGGAGGTAACAAATCTCAACATGAATGCAGACATTCTCAGCTGCGGTTGAATTTTCGCAAGGGCAAGCAATTTTTAGAGTATTATCGTGCATTAACTTTTCTAATATGTTGTCTTATTATTAGTTGGAAAAGTATAGAATTTGCCAAAATGTAGTACAAATTGAGAAGATTGTAAATTATTCATTTCCTCCCTGACTAAAAGTTTGTAGACACCGATTAAAAATTATTTATAACAATTTGAAACTATTAACTTCCAATTTCTATTTTATACGGCAACATATTTACATAACTATTAATTCCACTTTTCTCAATTTTCGATGTGCATGTCATATCAAATAAAGATACAATATAACTTTTAGAATAACGTTAACTAGAATTTGCAGTTGAAGAATGATTTCAAGGGCTGATACATGTAGAGTGAAGTTCCTTGACCAAGATTACCTCTGAGACATAATGCGAGGTATTCAAGACAGCAAGAAGATTCGATCGACAGAAATGCGTCGGCTTAAGGTGAAAAGCAGTTAACGGCATATCATGATGAGAAAGGGAGAGAGGAGCTGGAAGAGAGAAGGAAAGAAAAAAGAAGAGGGTTTGATTGATTGCACTTTATTAGCTTTCTCAGCTATTACAGTTTCTACAAAAACAAATAAAAATAAAATAAAATATAAGAAGACGTCAACAAGGATGTATCATTCATTCATATGATTCATTCATTGAACGGTTTCCATAACGTACTGCCTCAACATTGGCTTAAATGGTGGTATTTTGTTACACTATCTTACACTTTTTGGTAACACGTTGTACATTTCGTCAACTTCGTACAATACACTCCTTTACGCACTACTTGTGTTCCGTAGTTGAAGAGCAATTTCACCAGCCTGGCGTGTCTGTCTTTCGCTTATATTTTATCTTTATTTCGCAATTGATCTGATAGTATTTCCCTTATTATCTTAAAACGAAATACTCGTATATTCCTTATAAGATGTGCCCGTTGATGCCGTATAAGTTCCACGCCTCAAAATTTTCGTAAAGTGTACCGTTAAGTTATTATTCGAGGTGATGAAGTTAACTGAGATAAACTGTATACAAAAGTTCACATAAAGTAATGTATTTTAAATTTCAACCTACTTTTACGCGTGAAATGGTCTCCTTATCAGCTATGTTATGAATTATGAGATATCTTATATGTTGTCAAAATTTGAAATAAGCAAACTCTTCAAATTCAACAAACTATCAAATTCTCTTGGATACTGTAGTAAATCTATATGATAATACGTAAATTGAAAAATACATGTTCAATTATGTATTAAAAAACATTAAAAAACGAAATTATAAAACTCTTTTATTCTAACAAGAAGGCCACTACTAGAAAATATATTATTGAGAAAAACATAATATTAATTCATCAGGGTATGAATATTTACGAATAAAATGAGGCAGGATTCTTCAGCAATTTATGCCAGCTTCCACATAAGTTACGATTTCGTACGTTCCAGAAAATGATTAGAAACTTGATTTCTGTGCTCTCTACTGGCTTGTACGTGCTTTCAGAGACCGTGATTCAATTACCTGGAACATGTTCACAAGAAGTCACCGGTCACGCATACACAGCGAACGTAGGGGAACGAAGGGAGCCTTTGCGAAAAGTTATGATAAATGATCGTCTCTAGATTACTCGTCCTGTATTTTAATGAATCAGCCAATGCATTTAGATGGTCTTGAAAAAGCCCAGTGGATATTTATACGGCCACCACTTCAGTTTCAAGTGTAACCACCACGAGAACTATCGGTTCAGATTGCTTCGTGTACGCAATAGATTTTGCTTGATCTGTTAAAATATACACAGTATTCCAAAAAAGTAATTTCAATGACAATTTCAAATACAGCGTTTACATTTTGCATCAGGTATCGCCATAAGAAATGTGAGTTTCCTTTCATATTTGTAGAAGGTAAATTATAAAAAAGTAATCAAAATTATCGGCCGTCTGTGTATTTTGCCTCATTTTCTATTACATTACGCTACCTTCATACTAATTTTTCAATGTCCATTCTATAAAGATTCCTTTGTCTTGTTGCGAAGAAGTTGTTTAAGACACTTTTGATGTTGCTGAGATTGGTCACTTTTTCCACTTAAGTAATTCTGCAGACTTCTAGATATGTATATACAACAGACCAAAAGTATGGGAGTACAGTTCATGATTGATAGAACAGTAACTTATTATTCTGTTATTATATAATAAAAGTTACGGAATAAGTACATATACAAATCATTTCCAATCAGTTTTAAAACTTATTTTCATCAAATCTTTGTAGAATAATATTTTCCTTTTTCTTTAATTATCAGACTTGGTCCCATACTTTTGGCCGTTGGTGTACACATAACAGATATACCCAGGTATACGGGATGTTCCAGGTGAAGGCCACTCAAATATTTCCTTTCTTTTTAACGGTGTGACCAATGTTTGAAATACAATTTGAATATTTTGAAAGAGGAATGCAGTCAGGGCACGAAATGTGGTCTGATCAGTTCTTCCGTTGCCAGCTCGAAACTGTGATCGATTCTCGTTATTGATATAGTGGTTGCAAATCTTAGCTTACTCATAACGTTACGCAAAAAATATTTGTAAATCAGCCGTTTTGACGTTACTATGATATGATACTTCGAATTTGCACATGTATTTGTGCTTTGAATTATGATTTTAATTATTCTGTTACAATGTTTCCCGAATTCTTCTCGGTGTCCGGTTCACCGTACGCTACTCAAACCCAAATTTCATGTTATGATTTTCTACACTTCAAATGATTATTTTTTTATATTTCTTTAATATAGATGAATTTAAACATGATTTGAATTTAGTGACTTTTACGCTGTGATGTTCGATAACTGCTACGGGTTCGATCTCGTATCGGCAGTTCTACGGCGCGGTTTGTGCTCGTGACTCCTCGGTTTGAGGCGCGTCCGCGTGAGGATGTAAGAGGCGGTTTGACTCTGTACACCAAATTGGTTTGACTTCTTTATTACGTACCGTTTTTCGCCTAACGAACTCTATTCCCGATGCGTGACTTGTCTGGATCGTTTTCAGACATAGAGCGAAGATCGACGAGCTCGCATCAGTGATGCCAGATTGCTCGCATTTATCTCTTTCGATCGTGATTGAGTGGGGATCGGTGCGCACTCATGCAATGTAATTAGATGGGATGCCGTAAATTCGTGGATCCTCGCCTGACGTTCGTGGGTCCTCGTACGACGGCCGCGTGTCGCGAAGCTGCGGTGGTGGGGATTCGGTCTGTCTATGAGAGTCACTACTACTATGACCACGTCGATATACAAATACGTACGGTTACAATATAAGTTAACAACCAGTGATACTTCAGTGCGCGAATATCTAATATACTTTTAAATTCATTTTTCTTGGATATAAGGCTATGTATGAAAAAAGTTCAAGTTGTTACTATTATTCATACAATGATTTTGCTTTGATTCTAGTATGAATTTTGCCAATATTGTATACAAACATTTTTATTTACATTGGTAAACACAACATGCATCCTTTTCAGACTCCATACAACTGAATTATTAACAAGTTTCCAAGTAGTTCTATTAATTGTAATCATATATTTGTCACCGGATAGGCAAATCCTGGTTACTTACGCTAATCAGAGCATGAACGATGTAATGTAGCGTCAGTTACCGAGGAATGCGGTCAGAATCACTGTTAAATATTGTGCATCAGTAAAGTTTAATAGCGGACAAGAGAAACTTGTTTTGGTCAATAAGATCTCGTTCCGTTAGCATTTAATGATAAATAAAACTTCGTTGCATACGTCGACAGGATAAATATTGAAAGCATTGGAGCAGTGAATTAAAACGTGAAGTGAGCTCACGCGTGAAGTGATAAAATAAAAATTTTCAACCCGGAAAACGTATGCAAGATAAGGGAGATAATAGGTATCACCGCTGACTCTACTTTCTGCTACATAGATTCTATAACACTATTTTACATAAATAATTAATCAGACTTCCATCATGACAGTTGAATCAGAAAGATCAGTTTTAATTAATCTTTGCCACTTCATAAAGCAAAGCAGGTTAAGATAATTGTTAATCATTTTACTATGAATTACAAATAATGCTAATGTAATGGGTTGTGCTAAATTTATTAATAAATTTTCAGGATGTCATTCATTTGTCAGCTCGTTTGATTAGTTGTTAGGATATTTGGAATGCTAGGTTTTTGACACGGACAATTGAAACTCGCTATTTTATTAATGAAGTTAGAGACATTAGTTGACCATATGATGTGTAAAAAAAATTGTTTAAAGTTGTAGATGATCGGAATCGCGAAGAAAATAGTCAAGGTCGCTTGTTACAACTTTTTAATCTGAGGCTGTAATGAACATTTAATAAATACATGTCGGAGACTTACATATATTAGTTATATACATACTGAAACTTTCGTTGAAATCGATTGATACAGAAACAAGCGACAGGCATCAAAAGATGTAAGAATGGTTAGATATACTACAGATGTAGGTGAAAAGTTGCGAGAAACTGTGATTTTCAACATTTTTAATCGTTTGTATCTCGTAGGAACGTTAACCGATTTTGATGAAATTTTCA